GGAGCCCTTCTTGGCAATATTGTTGACGACCATGACTTAATCCATGTAAGCTCTCCCTATCTCTATTTTTCAATGTACACACTTGTTATTGTAAACTAAAATATTGAAAGTTCACATGAAATTCAATGATAATTTGAATTTTTTTTTTTTATAAATATGATATATTTTATAGTTATTGGTTATTGATTGAAATAAATTAATGCAATTTATGGTATTATGCTACTATATTAGGATGAGGCGCGATTGAAGGAAGTGTTGAAATACGCATGTGCTTGTGGAGCCATAACCACAACCAAAAAAGGTGCAATTCCAGCTCTTCCCACACACGACGAAGCCCTCGCCATTCTTAATAGACCAAAGGAACGCGTTTAGTCCCGTTTCTAATTTTCCAAGTTTTTAAGATTTTAGTCTAAGCGTGTCCTTTTTATTTTTTTGCATTGCAATTTTTAATCTCACCGGGTCGGCATTTCCATTTGACATTGTAACCGTTTGGTAGCTTGTGATTATGGACAAATAATAAATGGTACTGTTTATTTTTCCAGTTTTTCATGTCTATATGGTAATGTGAAATGTTGATGTCGCATAATTTGGCGTATATTTTTCTTCTATTGTTTATGGTAATGTGAAATGTTGATGTAATTTTCGAATTTAAACACAAGAAAATGATGGAAGAGAAGGAAAAAAAAAAAGAAAAATCAAACATGTGTTTTATCGTCCAACGACAAAGATTTGCCCATTGATTTTCTTGAATGTGCGTTATTATCTGAATTTATTTTCAATTATATAATTCACGTTTAGGGCCAAAAGGAATATATAAATCATCTGTTGTTGCTCATAACAAAGTTACAGTAATGTTAACCAACTGTTGGCTTCGTTACGGAGCCAACAACCAATGGGACAGCTCCATGTGGAGTTGTCCTACATTGGAGCCATGTGGGACAATTTCACATGAACCTGTCTTATTGGTTGTTGGCTCTGTAACGGAGCTAACAATTCGAAGCCAACAATTGGCTTCTTAGCATTATTGAACAAAGTTATTTTCAATTGTGTATCACTCACGTTTAGATTTTCGGACCACAAGGTGTACATAAATCATCTGTGATTTTCGGACCACAAGGTGTACATAAATCATCTGTTGATGATTTTAGGGCCACAAGGTGTATCTCTTCAATTTTTTATTGGGTTAATTGCACAAATCCCCGGATCGGGTATGAAAAAATACGGGATTCCAGTCGGTGATAATTTTGTCATCATCCAATTGTTTTCGAGTGGGTCCCAACTCTTTCTCTTTTTTTAAGGGTAGCGCTGGTACTGATGCACCAATCAACTATTATAGAGCAAGCATTCGCATTTTCAGTGGAGTGACCTTGCGGGTTAGTTATTCGTCAGTACCGGTTTAGCTTATGATGTATTTGGAAGCCCTCGGCCAAACGAGTATTTCACAGAGAGCCGACAAGGAATTCCATTAATAACTGGCCGTTTTGATTCTTTGGAACAACTTGCTGAATTTAGTAGATCGTTTTAGGAGGCCATAATCAAATGACTATAGATCGAACCTATCCAATTTTTACAGTACGATGGTTGGCTGTTCACGGCCTAGCTGCACCTACCGTCTTTTTTTTGGGGTCAATATCAGCAATGCAGTTCATCCAACGATAAACCTAATCCCGAATTATAGAGTTATGACACAATCAAACCCGAACGAACAAAATGTTGAATTGAATCGTACCAGTCTGTACTGGGGGTTATTACTCATTTTTGTACTTGTTGTTTTATTTTCCAATTATTTCTTCAATTAGGAAAACGAAAGAAAAGAAATAAGAATTCTAGACATTTTCTTAGCCCATTCGGAAGGATCTCATAATTATTCACGACTGTTTATGTCTCTAGCATGACCACTTGATGAAATTGGAGGGAAGTGAAGTAAATACCAAATTTTTATTATGTTGCAATTTTGTCTCAACATCACTTTCCGGCCAAGCCATGCTGACATGTCCGATCAGAAATTTGACGTGGCACCGATTAAGATTGCGTGACACTCAACATTTTATAGTCCATGCCACATCAGCTGACACGTAGGAATCCACGTCACAATTTTTTTTTTTCTTTTAATCCCATTTTTAGATCTAGAAGATGGTAATTCAGAGTAAACCTGTTGTGGTAACTAATTTTCGACTAAATTAAGATCTACAATGTGCTTTAGTTGCACATCCTGAGTGTCACGCAATTTTAATCGGTGTCACGTCAAATTTTCGATAGGACATGTTAGCAGGGCTCGGCCGAAAAATAATGTTGAGACAAAATTGCAATACATAATAAAGATTTGGTATTTTATTGCAAAATTTAACAAAATTGAGTTTTATTTGCAATACAATTTATATTAATGTCAAGATCCCAAGTATTGTAATATTTTTAATAATGACAATTTTTCTTTTATTTTATTATTTTCTTCTTTCAAAGCAGTGAGCCCCAACAATGTTTGAATGAATATGGGATGAATAATGTTACAAACTAGTTTTACCCCGTGTATTTACACGAAAAACAATATAATAAAAGAGAAAGTAATTAACAATATAGATTAAAATTAAAACCATATCTTAATAATGAGAAAAAAAAATAATTTAAAAAAGTGAATCTAAATATTATTAAATAATTCTTTATATACAACATTCGTGGTTTTCCTATCATTAGAATTCCTATCACAACAAATCATCATCGTTAAACCCCTTTGACTCGTGACTCTAGGATTTAATTTTTTTAAATCTTTGATGTGTCTTTGTAATATTCGAAAAAATTATTGTATGAGTGCAATAGAAAATAGAGATATTTGTAGTCATTCTTCATTAGTTGTGAAATATGTATTTATATAATACCAAAAAATATATAATATAACAATTAAAAAAATATTGTGTACTTCATAACATAAAAAGGCGTTACAGAAATGGGTATCATAAGAAATGAGATATGTCAAAAGAAATTGTGTAACTGAAAGTTACAAATTTTTATTAAATGATGAACATATTTTTATTAAATGAACTTCTATTTTTATTAAATGAACTCATATTATTATTAATTGCTGGCTAAATAAAATTTATTGAACCTTACCAGCAATTATATATATATAGATAACGCCGAATATGACATTAAATGTAAAGTAAATATATTCATCATGTTTGAATGAATAATATGGATGAGTAATGTTACAAATACCACTGAATATGACAACAAATGTAAAGTAAACATATTCATCATTTTTGTTAAATGATTCTAATGATAACTATTTTGTAATAGTTAGATGTATATAATAAATTTATAATTTCGTCACATATTTGTTATTTTATTTTATATTATAGTAATTTATATTTTTACCCGTACTTAAAATTAAAATAAATAATATACAAATCCAACATGTTAAACGGAAAAATATTTGTACGGAAAAATATTTATATTATGTGTATTATTGAGAGGTGAACTTAAGTTTTTTTTTTTTTTTTTTTCAAACGACATAATCACTCAGATTGAACAAAAATAAATGGAATGTACACGGGGAATCCCTTAATCCGCAAGCAATGGGAGGACACGTACAACAGGTAATGCCTAACCAAAACAATAACTACCAAGACTAAACCCGACATCTCAACTTAGCCAAATCAAAGCAAATAAGATACAATAAGAACATGACACTGCAGAAAGAGAAGGACACTACTGACACGAGACCTAGAGCCTACTCTGCTTCATGAGTCATCTCCTGGAGTTGCTATTTGAGAAGTCGAGCCAGTCCTGCACAGCTGACTTGACAATCTAGGTCTCAGACTGTCATTTTCTCTCAAACACCCAAAGGTTCCTTGCACGACATAGCCACCATAAGATATAGGTGGAGAGTTGGATCTGCTCTTCATAGGTCCCGTTTCTTCATGGAACTAATACACCACCACCATTCTTTAAAGCTCAAGTGCTCCTCGCAGACTCTGTTCCATTGGGCTGGAGTTATCTTCCAGGTGTTCTGTACTCTCTTGCAAAGGAATAAAGCATGTTCTTGAGTCTCTTCAATCTCTCCACAGACATGGCATAGGTTGTCAATCTCCACACCCCTACTAGTTAGATTGTTGTTGACAGGCAATATATTAGTGAAGCATCTCCAGATAAAGTGTTTTATCTTTCCCAAGACTTGGAGTTGCCAGCATCTCTGTCTTGCACATCTTTTTTTCCCTTCCATCTCACTTGATTCAGCCAGATTCTTGTTGCAGATCCTCTCCTTCATCAACACAGCATAAGCATTCCTCACTGAAAAAGATCCTTTAGACAGAAAGGGGCACTGCCAAAGATCATTTGCCCTTGGGTTAAGAGACTTGATCTGTAAGATTTTCTGTGCATCAGCCTCCTCAAACAACACTTTCACATTTTGTTCGGAATCTTCTAAATAGTTATCTCAAAAAATAATAAAGTATCCTAATTACCCACAAAGAATAATTTTATTAATTTATTATTTAATTAACTTAATACTATGAGATAAATTGAATAATATGATTGGCAATATTATTTATAACAACATTCAAATTATATAAATTATTGTTATTGTTGGATTATATATTCTTTTACAAAATAAATAGATATTTGAAATTAAAAAAAATATATATATTAGTTGTATACGAGGATTATACTTTGGCTTCTATCATTTTTAAACATATAATACTTGATACTACTATTTTTCAATTTAATTTTATTGAGAAATGAACAAAATTTTATTGAAAAATGAAAGTTTATAATTGCAACTTCCTACATTAGTGATAAATTACATTAGTGACCTTGGAAACTAATTACAGTAAAAAGCATTTTTGGCAATCCTATTTTTTCAAAAAAAAAAAAAAAAAAA